CCTCTGTGGAACCGGGTCTCCACAGCGGCGGAGGTTATTTTCGCAGGGCAGCAACACCTCGCCAGCTAGGCTCCCCTCTGGACTGCAGGATGTTCAAGGGACTTACTGCTGTTTAAAGAGTGCAGGGAGGCACTGTTACTGGCAAACTAGCTCCAAAACACACCCGGAAAAGCGTATGAATGTTTGGTAACTTGAGCAAATATGTATAAGGGGGCAGATCAAATGACATCAGCCAGCTTAGCTCTCTGATCAGTAATAGAAAGCCGTCTCAGTTAACTCACACTGCCTTTTTTCCTTTTGCTTAAGGTATGCAGTGAGACTAAAAACCCACTCAGGCCCCAGCGCCACGCCAGAAGACAAGCAGCTGGCAGCATTATGGTTAGTAAATCAAGATTTCGTCAAAAGGCTTCTTTTCTGCAGTGAGCTCGTCCTTGAAAATCAGATGCTGGATGCAGCCAGATAGGATTATGTTGTCTATTAAAATTAAGAGCATACTTTCTGCTCCGGGAAGGTCCAGCCCGTGTAGCACTGTACCAGGTCTGCATTCTGTCTCTGTAAATAAGCAATTCATACTTATTGACTGTGACAGGTCAGCTATGGTACGTCAGCGTAATTAATTTTTAAGTGCCTGATGGTTTGTTGTTTTTATGAGTGATGTACTTTTGTACCAATAGCTCGGTAATTTCTTTTGTGGCTGACATTTTAGGCTCAATAACCATAAATTATATTTACATTATATGAAGAGAGATACGGTGATGGTGATAATTAAGCCTCTTGGATTACCTTCTAAACTGAGATTTCTAGATAGATATTCACCCACCTTAGATTCTATAGGATGGTTGCCCATTGCTAGCAAAATGCTAAAATGTTATTAAAATCAAATGTTAGTATCTATGTAGTTAATACATAAATACCTGTTACATGGGTAGTGATTCTCAGTAAGTGGACATTTACAATCAGCAAGTGTGTTCTTAACATCTATTAACCATCTGTTAAAAACCCGAATTAAATGCATCTTTAGCCTCCATAAATAAGGAGTCCTAATTAAGCATTTGTATAGAAAAAAGCACAAAATATTCAGAGATGCAAAATTTTTATTTTTTTTATTTTTTTTTTAAATGCCCTTTCTTTGTCACCGGTTTGCCTTTGCCAGCGGGAGGAGCACAGGACGCAGTCACGCCGGTTGCTTTAAAAACGCTTAGGTGGGAAAATGACTAAAGAACAGTTTCAAAAGAAAAAAAACAACCAACAAATAAATGGAATACATCCGCATAAGGAGGGGCTGCTCAGAGCTGCCGGAGCGCGGAG